CTAGTATGGACTTTAATGCTGTATTATCCCACAGCAGAATACAAAAGGGCAAGAACATGTGAGGGCAAGAGACCAAACTCACAGCCTCGAGCCCTTTTATAATTGGCATTAATCCCTTCATAAGGGTGGTGTCATCATGATCTAAATACCTCCCATTAGGCCTCACATTTCAACACTGTTAAACTAGGGATTAAGTTTCCAGCACATGCTTTTGGGGGGATACATTTAAACCCTAGCAATCACTGAATTCTCAGTCTTCCCACGGTTGAAAGGCACTTAACTATTAAAGTAATATTTATGTCATAACAGGGTATTTTAAGGAATAATTTCTGTCTTAGTTACAATTGTTTAAAAAACATAGATTTTAGGCTGGATATGGTGGCTAATATCTGTAATCTCAACACTTTGGGAGGCTGAATCAGGCAGCTCACTTGAGGCCAGGAGTTCGAGACCAGCCTGGCCAACATGGTGAAACCTCATCTCTACTAAAAATCCAAAAATTAGCCAGGTATGGTGGCACAAAACTGTAATCCCAGCTACTCAGGAGGCTGAGACATAAGAATCACTTGAACCTGGGAGGCGGAGGTTGTACCACTGCACTCCAGCCTGGGTAACAGAGACTCTGTCTCAACAAAAAAATTAAATTAAATTAATAAAAATTTAAAACATAGATTTTGCCAGGATCACTAACTGGATTTTTTTTCATAAGTCCTGTTAGAGTATTCTGAATTATCTTTATTTTATAAGGGAAGAATTTTAAAACTAAGAGAGCAGTAGGTCTCAGTGCCTCAGAGTCAGCAAAATCTGTTTCCACTTTATACACATTAATTACACAATTACATGTTGCATTTTTGCTCTTATACTATGCCGATGTTTTCTCTAACACTAAAGATGATTAAATTTGACACAATCTAATCTTTCCTTCATAAGATCCCTAACTTTTCAGATATACTTTCTATGACATAAAATGCTATCTAATAGGATCCTGGAGATCTCTGATGGCAGTGCTTGATTGTTTGAGGCACTTCCAAGAACATTTGACTCACACTAACTAATGGCCCCTGAAGGGAAGCCTCCTGTGGGCCTCTGCAAAAATAAGAGGAATGTATAGGATGAAAGCCATTCTTCTTTAGCTGGATGTCTTCCACTCTAAATGTGGTTCCAAGAAGCCCAAGAGACTTTTTGTGACCCTAAGGAGACAAGGCTAAAATGTTGCAAACATGCCAAGGTTGACAGTGCTAAAATCTGCAAGCATGCTGCCCCAAGCTTCTTATTACGTGAGATAATACATGTTCTTTTGCTCACCCACTTTCAGTTGTATTTTTGCTACTTGCAGCCCAAATCTCCTTAACTAATAAAATAATCCATTAAAGCTTCCACAACATCAATGAGACAAGAGGTTCAATCCACATGAATAGGGTAAACTGGTTACAGAGAGCCATACTGGATAACCCCATACATGAAATAATATCGCTAGTTTCAACCTACACATAGCAGTGTATCCCATGCAAAGGGTGTATATATAGAGTAGTTCCAATGCAAAGAGGTCCTTAAGGCATTTATTATCTAATGTTTATCTACGGTGAATAAAAACAATATGAAAGATAAAAGCTACAGAGCTTATATCAATAGTGTTTCAACCTAAATATATCAGCAAATGGTCAGTTGGGCTACTTATGTGTTCTGGTTTTCAAATCAGAACCATTACTATGGTTTCAAATCAGCCACTCCAAAGCAGCAAAATTTATTTACTTACAAAGCTGGAATCAAGGCAGTGCTCAGCAGGGAAAGTTTGTCTTTGTTCTGTCAGCACTAGCCAAAGCATCTGATGTTGTAATCATCTGTATTAGGCTGTTTTTGCATTGCTTTAAAAAAAAAAAAAAACTTGGCTGGACACAGGTGGCTCATGCCTATAATCCCCTATAATACTTAGGGAGGCTGAGGCAGGTGGATCACTTGAAATCAGGAGTTTGAGACTAGCTGACCAACATGGTGAAACCCAGTCTCTACTGAAAATATAAAAATTATCCAGGAGTGGTGGTATAATCCTGTAGTCCCAGCTAAGGCAGGAGAATCACTTGAACCCAGGAGATGGAAGTTGCAGTGAGTTGAGATTGCAACTGTGTACTCCAGCCTGGGCAACAGAGGAAAACACTGTCTCAAAAAAATGAAAAAATACCTGAGGCTGAGTAATTTATAAAGAAAAGAGGTTTAACTGGCTCACAGTTCTGTAGGCTGTACAAGAAGCATGGTGCTGGCATCTGCTTCTGGTGAGGCCTCAGGAGACTTACAATCATGGCAGAAGGTGAAGAGGGAGTAGGCATCTCACATGGCAAGAGTAGGAACAGAGGGGAGGGGAGGTGTCACACACTTTTAAACAATCATATCACAGGAAAACTCACTTGCTGCTTCATGAGGTTAGCACCAAGACATGAGGGATCTGCCCCCATAACCAAAACAGCTCCCACAGGCCCCACCTCCAACACTGGAGATAAGAATATAACATGAGATTTGAAAGGGACAAACATCCAAATCATATCACCATCCAAAAACCCAGCATTCAGGGAGAACTCAAACCCCTGGGGACTGAAACAGCTGAGGCTCCTGAGACATCTATCCCTGTGAGCCCTCTCCACAGTGTCTCTGCAGCATGCTGGATTGAGGGTACATGGACTTCTTACAAGATGAATGTCCCAGCCAGGTGCCAAGGCTCATGCCTGTAATCCCAGCATTTTGGGCAGATCACAAGGTCAGGAGTTTGAGACCAGCCTGGTCAACATGGTGAAATCCCGTAAACACCAAAAACATTAGCCAGGTATGGTGGTGCATGTCTATAATCCCAGCTACTCGGGAGGCTGAGGCAGCAAAATTGTTTGAACCCAGGAGGCAGAGGATGCAATGAGATTGGGCAACAGAGCGTAACTCCATCTCAAAAAAAAAAAAAAAAAAAGATGAACGTCCCAAGAGGAACAGAAGCATGCAGGAGCTATCTTATTTTATGAATTAGCTTTGGAAAACATGTATAGCCTCAATTTCACCTCATTCTGTTTTTTAAGGCAGTCACATAGACCCTTCTCAGTTGAAGGAAATGGAAATTGACTCTATCTCTTCAAGAAGGAGTAAAAAAAAAGCATGTGGGACCGGAAATACTAATGCACTCATTCCTGATATAGTGTACCCAACTATGACATCATAGGTGTTTGTCAGTTACAGCCAAAGTGATTCCTTCAAAGAGACAGACTTTAAATCAAATCTTAAAGAATTTGAGAGACCTTGACTGTCATACAAAGTCTGTTTTTCAAGATAACACTTTTTAAAGCAGTCATATAAGTGTACAGTTTATATCCAGAAGCAAAGAAACAGATATTCTACTGAGAACTTCTCAATGGCTTCACTATCTTAATTTATAAATACCCCAAATCCAATCCTTGTTCCCCTTATGTACATGTGCCAAATAATCCTAGGAGGAAACATTGTGGAAGCTTTTTGTGACACAGAATTTGACTAAATAAACACAAATACCTTCAACCTTTAAACCTTTCCTCAAGCTTAGATGAAGCTAAGTTATAAATAAACTCTAGTGGATTTAATACTGAAAAAAAAAGTCAGCGGTAAAGTTTTGCTTTGAAATAAAATGCAGCTCTTTTATGTCAGGGATTTCTGTCCCTTGTGATGAATACACTACTGTAGTCTCCACCCTGCCTAGAGCACTGCTTTGCAAATAATAAAATGAATGCATAAATAAATAAAACTGCCATCTATGCAATGCTTTACAGTTTATAAAGCACTTTTATATATTTTGCTTCATATAACTTTTGACATAAATATTATCATTACTGGATTCATTTAAAAAAATGAGAAAAGGTGAGAAATCAGTAAAGTAAATAAATTCCCTGAAGTCACAGATACAGTGAAGTGTAAGAAATAAAAGTTGAATCACAAATTTTTATTAAAAATCCCATGCCCTTTTCAGTGATTGTTAATAACTTTCATATATTTGTATAAGTTTCTGGCATGAATTTTTGCTTTGCTGACTTTCCCAAAATAGCCCTGAAGTATACAAAAACCGTCATCCTTATCCCACATGTTCTCTGTCAAGATCACTGTTAAATTTTTAATTACTAAATATAGAATGTTTTATCTATTCATGTTTTATCTTATTTACTTGTTAATATTTCTAATATTGCTCCAGTGAATAATTTCAACACAGCTAGAATATAACTAAAACTTTTTTTCCACCAAACAAGGCTACAGGAAGCAGATTATTCAGGCTTCACAATGTTAAGGCTGGAGAAAAATTGTAAAAGAAAGGGTCAGTAATCTAGCATCATGTTAATTTATCAAAGTAATGATAAATACTTAATGCATGGAAATATCTAATAACAGAAACCAACTCTGTTACAAGAAAGGGCATATTCATATGCAATGAATGGCCATAATTAGGATACATTTGCATATTTACCTTGGGGAAGTTTTCTCAGGGAATTTAATTTGCATTTTGGCCCAGAATATCTCAAAAAAGATATCTATAAAGAAAAACTGAAGGTTTTTCCAAATCCATGTATGCCAGAGTTTAGAAACTCCCTGGTGCTCAGTTTTTCCATGTATTAAGGAAAGAATTAAATGAGACAGTGTGCTCTTAACAAGAGAATCATCACTTGAAGTGAATGGCATTCTCCTCCTCGTCATTCTCCAAGGACAGAATGCCTCCCAGATCCCAGGCTCAGAGAAAACTATTTCATTGCTGAGACTTCAGAGAAGGAAGAGGAAAGAGAAAAATATGTTACCTTACAATTAACTGTGAAGCAAAGCTTCCACATATTTTCTATTTAGGAAATATGGAAACCAGAATGTGTCTTCAAGATAATAAATATACTCTCTCTTTCTAGGAGGTCTGGTGCTTACACAAACATAAAGCAAACCTGGTGGATTGTATTGGAATCAAGGCTCCAAAAACCAGTCAGTATAACACAGCCTAGAAGTCTTGGCAAGACTCCTACCTTTGCCTGCCTTTGCGGGTAACTGTTCAGAAGCAGGATTTAAGGCCTCAAGGAAAGGCCTGAATCCAGTTTCCCGGAACTGTGTCTTTAGAGCATCAGAGAAAGAAGTCTTCACCCTGCAAGAAGGGCAAAAGCAAGGTGGAACAGGAGCATTTCACTGGGGATAAACACCCAACTTTAGAATGAGGAGCAGGTCAGAGAATTAGAACAAAGGGTCATCTATGTGCTAGGACAGGTAAGTGAGGAGGTAAGTGATGAAGTCACAAAGCAAGATCCCTGTTCCTGAAAACGGACACAAACACAAACTCTAGATAATTTTGAGCCCCCCAAATACTGCCCAAGATTCCTTCACTTGCTCCTCCCCCGAACAGCCACGTTTCCAAAGACTGAAGGAGCACACAGCTTGGGGATGGAGGGAGCTGTTGAGTGGTCTTAATATGTAAGTACCACAGGAATATCAAGGAACATGCAAAAGGAATCACTCTCATTACCCTCAATTGTCTGACAGATGAAAGACCAGAAGCCTCTATCAGAGCAGAGCTACTGGTTGAATCCACTCCTGCCAACTGAAAAAACCATTGGAAGCTGAAGCCGTTACTGGAAAGACTGTTTTCCACTAGGGTCACTATTGAAGGAACAGCTGCTGGAAGTTGGTACTGGGGGTAGCTGCTGAGAGCGACATAATAGAACCTTTCCCTCCAGGCACTGCTTGAAGCAGCAGGTAGTTTCACGCTGGGCACCACCTGTAGTTCAGCAATCTCCAGCTCACTCTATTTTATTTAAGATTACCTTTAGGAGAAAAAGGAGTTACTCCCCTATCTAAAGGAAGGGTAGAAATTGTTGTTATTCATTTTCTGTCTTACTACAGAAAACAAAAATTCGTCATGTCAATAAAACGACCTGAAACTCACCTAGCCCTCCCATTTCCAGCCAGAAGAAAGAGGGACATGGAAAGATAGTCTCATACATGCAATTGTGTGAAGAACAAGTTCAAAATGAACAGGCTCTGGAATGCCTTTTTGTAAGCATCATTCTTTTTCTAAGCCTCTGGACTGAGGTAAGTTGTTTCTAATTCTAAAAAAACAGAAAAATGAGTTCTCAACGTTTTCTATAGGTGGTGACATTCCTGTAGTCATTGCTATTGTTAAAGGTCAATTAATCTTGCGTTATTTCCATAAATAATTGAAATTTTTTTCTTTCTTTAGGTTTTTAGAGTACAGATCTTTGCTTTCTGGTTTTGGTCAGTCTGGGTTTTATTAAAATTAATATACCTCAAAAAAACCACCTAAACCTGCCAGAGGTTTTAAGTTTATTTCCAGTCTGTGCAGACTATGACCTCTGCTGGGAATTTTCACTGAATTTGTAAAGAACAAAGAATTTTAGTTCCATCACAACCTAAAAACAAGAAAATGTGACACCAACACTAAAATCCATCTACAAATGACCACTTTTTAAAGCAAGAACTATGAACAACTAACTTTCTTTAAAATGTATTTTGATGCTAAGACTGACAGTAAGGATTTACTTTACATGAAAGCCTGCAGCATAATTCTAGGAAAGTATTTTAATCTATATTTTTAAGTATAAAAAAGTCATGACTGTTCTTTGAAGTAAATATTACAGAGAAATATTGAAAGAAGATGCTTAAACATAGTTTTGCTCTGCTCAGCTCAAAGCCTGATTCAGATCAGGAGGTTACATGGCATTCTAGACATATCACTGGGGTTTTATTGTTTTGTTTTGTTTTGTTTTATTTTGTTTTTGCTAGGTATCCTTTCCCTCATTCCTACCTCAGGATTTAGTAAAATTTTAAGTAGCAACAATAGAGATCTACCTCTTTTTACATATTTGTTAGTGATCACTACTTGAAGATTTTATGCTCAAATCTTGCTATAGATCAATTTCAGTAGTCATTCTACTGTGGTAATACACTCAATAAAAATAAGACTGTCTAGGCATAGCGGTTGCATTTAGAAGCCCTCTTTTTATTAGCTTTAAAAGTTTGGGATGGGACTACGTAAAGTAAAATCTGGTGTGGGCTCTCTGTGTAATATTGTTATACACATGTAGTAAAACATCTTTGATAGGCCACGTAACAGTTTTATCTATAACATAGCTTAGGTGCTTAATCACACACTAAAAATTGGAAGTGATAAGATTAAATACATCACGAAAAACACAAGCTTAACAACAAAAGGAGTAAGTACAACAAAGAATATCAAGTATCATTTTCACAACGTAAAATCCTAAATTTTTAAAACTTCCTTCATTTTTCAAATTTTAAACAATGAACATTTATAATTTTATACCCCAAAATTAGACATTTGTTTAAAATATATAGATGTAACATTATCAATTGAAAAAAATTAAATAACCATTTAAGCAAAACTTTACACTTAAATCTAAAAGAAGGCCAAGGGTGGGAGGAAACAAAGAATTCTGTTAATGTACTTGTTTCTTGTTTTTTCATGATATGGTGATGAAGTTGTGCTCTGCCCAGTCCCAAGTCTTCCTAATACCTAGAGTTAAAGGAAGTCTTCTGTGCTCCTAATTAAAGTTAACCAAACATTCTAGCGGTCAGAATCACAAAGGTGTCTCAGGAAGCAATTGCTTTAATAAAGTCAACAAAAATTGAGTAATGTCTTCATCTCACAACCAAGGCTGTGTCCCGACAGTACCTTTGAATAAGAGATCATTCAAGCACTCTTACTTCAGTAACAAGATCTATGCCCAGAAACTTGATGCCTACCTCTTAGATGTTGAAGAGACTGGTATTTTTGGTCTCCTCAAAGTGAATATCCTATTTAGCCCCAGTCTTAGAAATAATCATATTATATTTACTCTCCAGTCACTTAGAAAATTAATGGCTTGAACTAGAACCAGATTCAAAACTCATATGTCCTAAAGAAGCCCATTTCCCATTGGGAAATATTTTGATTGATTCTGTCCCTCACTACTAAGATGTCATCAAAAGATGAAGCACCTTCCCCATGCCTCTACACATACACACACACAAACACACACACACACACACACTCCATCACACCTCAAAAGAATATAGATGTTTTGACTTTCCTTAGAAAGTCTCAAGGCTTGTCACCATCAATTAGAAAGCATCTTGAAGGAAAATAGAAGAGACTATCAATCTGCGTAACTCTGATAAATTTTGCAAAGTGTTGATTGTCTTTTAAGTGTGTAACAGAGTGGGAAAAGTGAATAATCTGTCTCATGTAAAGAAGTCTCAGCATGACAATTTTCCCATGGGATAAAATAATCAAGGAAAGAAAATATTTTCTTAACTGTATTAGACAACTTTTGCAATTAGATCACATCTTCAGGCACCACTGAGTGCTTCCCTACACAAAAGAATTTGGTATCTGTTCTTGTGGGTAGTTACTTGAGAGAGGAAATTAAACATTTCTAGAAAGGAGACTCAAAGGGGCAAGAGTTATAAGAATGGTAAAGAAGAATGAAGAAAATGTCCTGGAGAGCACTAGAGCAGACATCAGAAAAGACGGTGAAAAATAATGCCCTGAACTTTTCGGGGGTAGAAGAAAGCAAGACTAAGAGGAGAAAGCTGCTAGAGGGGGCAGGAAGTGGTGTTTTCTGCTTCCTGGAAGAGAAAGA